CTCCCCCCCATCCCGCAACCTGTCCCACCACCCTCCCCTTCTCTTGCTCTCCCTCCTCTCCCTCTCGTTCACCTCCCCTTCTGGGTCTTCCATTTCGCCCAAATCCCCCATGGCTCCTCTTGGTGGCTGGTTAGCTGTGTGGTGTTTGTTGACAAAATTCGTTACTCTCCCCCCCTTCTGCTCTTCTCGTGTGCTTGTGTGCACAGAGCTTAAGCCCCTGAACGCCAAGTGAGCAAATTCAAGCGGCTTGGTCTAGGTGGTCTGGTATTCGAGTTAGATACTGTATGTTTTTATTATCTTGTATGGACCGTGGTATGGTATGCAGCGGATGTATGGTGCATGACTGTCCCTAAACTTGGGAAAGCTCATTGTAGTTATTCTGAACACAAAACCACAGCGCCCGACTTGGTATAAATACACATGCCACAACAGTAAATTGGGATGTTTATGGCGCATCGCATTGCTTTCAATTGAGCAGATGTCCTAGTGCATGTGCATCCCCACCTGGCATCACCTAGTGTATTCTATGTGTAAGCCAAGGCTGAGAGGTGTGACTTGTAGTACAAAGCCAAATGTTTTGATTCCATTTCATTTTCATTGCTGCAGGGGCGACTTGTTTACCGTAATAGTGTGCAATCAGGGCTGACTATTCAAAAAAATCCAGTCTGATGTTCTGGGGGCTCTGAAAATTTTTAGTCTGAGGCATATTTCCCAGAGAATGGCCACTCTGATTTTTCAGGTTCCGCAAAAACACAAGTCTGAAGTACTCAGAACACACTACAACCACTGCAGTACAGTACTGCCACAAATGTAGCACGTGGGGCGCAACGCTAACCAGCTTCCCTCGCTGACACCGCGTAGCTGCAGTGATGGTCCCGCGTGAGTGGAAGAGTGAGCCAAGTTGGCAGATTTCTAAGGGAAAAGGGTGGCAAAAGTTGCCAAGGACAGATTCTGCACGTGACAGCGCCATGAAGTGTGTTCGTACACTGGCAACATATGACGTAGCGGAATGTACGTAGAAATCACAGATCCGCATTTCAGGATCTGTACTCCCTGTAGTATGAAGACCCATTATCGGCTAAGTCAGTACTCTGAAAATCTCAGGATCCAAAACCAAGTAAGTCTGAGGCACTCATGTTTGAAAATCTTACAAGTCTGAAAAATCAGGATCCGTAGGAAAATACCCTGAGATTTCAGACAATCAGACTATTTTAGTCTGATAAAGTCAGCCCTGTGTGTCAGAGGTCCACTGGTGATCCCCGATTGATCATAGGGAAGGGTTACAGGCATGTTGGCCTGGGGGGTTATGGGCGCACTGACCCGCTACTTAACAAGCCCTTTTATCCCAGTGGTTAGTGGCTGGGATTCTGACATGGTATCAGAGCGAAGGTCTCGGGTTCGAATCCCAGTGTGTGCACTTCGGGCATCCCAGAGCGGGGGGGTGTCAGAGGTCCACTGGTGATCCCCGATTGATCATAGGGAAGGGTTACAGGCATGTTGGCCTGGGGGGTTATGGGCGCACTGACCCGCTACTTAACAAGTCCTTTTATCCCAGTGGTTAGTGGCTGGGATTCTGACACTGTGTGCAATCCAACATGCAAATGAACATACAGTCCACTTTAGGAAGGAAGCTTAAGATTCTGAACTGAGCGCGCGCGATTCAAATGGCCTCTGTTTTCGTAGTTGCACTGAGCTGAGTTGCAGCTGCATTCTTGCATCACAATCGTCTTGACAATGCATTTCCTAGTTGTGCATTACAGTGCAGAGTACAGTTTTCCGACATCATATAGTGTGCTAACTATTGACAAACCAGGTTTATAGTAAGATTGCAAGAGGTTTGTAATACATGCCCTTGTGTAGGACAAGAGACATACATTGATTTTGTTAGGCCAGATTAGGTGCAGCATGCGACCCGTTTGGAATACCGTGTGATATCCATGCCAGCCGTGGCTTCAAGCGAGGAAAGCCTGAATACGGGCGCGCGGTCTTCTGTTCACGTGGCTTGTTGCTGAGAGGATGTGCTGCGCTGGCCAGCCATAATTGGTGTGAAGTTCCAACGGACGGATGAGAACCTTCGTTAGTGCTGCCGACGCGAAACCGTCATTGGTACTCTTCTTCCCGCCTGTCGTCGGCTTCTGACTGTCCAATCGAACGGTTCGAACGCTGGGACAACTGACTCATCGCTTTGAGCTCTTTTCCCGCCTACATGTCAAGATCTCATTGCTTTTGACGAGGCACAGTTTTAGGGGCGTCCACGTCGGATTGAAACTGCTGCTTGACCCGGACCCCCCGCATCCGAACTGAAGCCTCGCCCCGCACGCAGACTATGCGGAAAAGTTTGCGCCATCCCACCGCTCTGTGAGACGGACGGTGTCGGAGATAGACGCCAGCGGGGGAGTGGAGGTCGAGTCAAACACATGCAACAGGCATGCTGCAAGCACATGGGACCCAATGGGCCAGCAAGCAAAATCTCCCTGCCACCCTCGTGCTGACAGTTTGTTCCGCCGCACAGTCGTACCATATATTTTCGCACCGCTTCGCATCACGTCGCAAATATGGCGAAGTAACACTATGCGAACTCGTAGTGTCTATTTCCAGAGTAGGAATGATAGAATCGGGGTACTGTATGGTAACAACGTCAGCACTGATTCGTATCATGTTTGCGCGATAAACGTTTTTGGCATGGTTCTGCTGATGCTCCTCAACAGAACTACTGACTGGGACCATGGCAATCATCATTCCCAGTGGTGATCGCATGAGTCAGGCAGTGGAAGCAACAGAACAAGAACAGTGAACGGTCGTTCTCCCTTCCCCCCGTTGCCTAGGAAACGGGGTTGATGGGGAGGTCCGCGTGGGACAGCAGCAACCTGGAAAGGTTTGGTAACAAGGGGAGATGACGGCAGGGGGGAAGTAACTGTAGAAATGCTGTGGTGGTGGTGAGTGAGTGAGAGAGAGAGAGAGAGGACATTTAAGGGAAGGGGGAAAGGCGCGCGGAACAGAGAAGCCAATTTCCGCCAAACAGGGTTCTTTTGCGCAAGCGAGGGTTTCTTGGCCCACTCCTGTGCTCCAGATAATAGGGGCGAAGGGGGAACAAGTACCACAGAAACCGCAGGGGAATGCGCAAACACGCGGAGCAGATGGGTCAAACTCCGCGAAAACGCGGAACAGAAGAGCAAAGCACTGGTGCTCGTCACTCTAGCCCTGGTCTCAGAGACAGTCCCACTAGCTGCTGGCTTGCTCGTCGCACAGAAGTGAAAGGGGAAGGAAAGGTTCACCGCTTCATTTTCTGAGACAGCCTGTTTGTCAGCTTACAAGAAGCTGGTGCATTCCATGAATGTTGTAGGTCTGCCTGTCATTCGCGCTTCCAACACCAGTTACATTTTCTTACTTAGTCTGCCTCGACGACAGGCTTACCTCAAATTACAACTGGCGTTAGCCGCAGATTTTCTTTCCGGGGTTTTGTTGTTCGGAGGTCATCACAGTGCATTTCTTCGAGATCATTCTCAATCTGTTCAACAATGGAGTGTCTGAGACTACCTTGTGAAGCTGTGTCAATTTCTCGTTGCGGAAATCCCGGGCTCTCAGCTGCTGAGTTTGCCACACCTAAGGCGACTTTAGATCGCCAACCAATTAGAAGCCGGAAGTTTCTGAGTTTCAAAGGTTCCGCATTTCCATCCATGCAATCCCCTGGTTTCTCCAACGACTCCAATTTCGCAAGAGATGGAGTGGGTTCATCATCCTGGCCTATGTCGGTCCCAGCAATGTCTTCTCAGCCCAGGCATAGCAGCAGATGTCAACGATTTCCGCATTCTGCTCGTTTTTCTGAAGATCCGATCTGTTCGATTCCTGACAACGACGACCTTGAAGCATCTCGGCTAGCTTTGGCTCAGCTTGAACGATCTTTTCTGGCGGAGTCGTCGATTGGAATTGTGGAGTGTACCAGCAAAGGATGCAGACCCGTTCTCAGGCCACCGTCTCAACCTGCTGTTGAACCATCGCCGTCATCTTTCGTCTCGTTTCCTTCAGCCTCTGAATCGTCGCCGTCAACGTACCCTGCGTCTTATCCCCTTGGCTCATTAGCTACTGGCGCTTCGTGCATGGAGGAACGAGCTGCGACTTATCACCGTCATCAGGAACGACGACAGGCTGAAGTGACGGGCCGGCCAAGTTTTAAGACAGAGTTCGCGGAATTTGTCAATGAAGTCTGGGTGGAGCCTTCGACGGCAGATAAATATTACCGGTCGGCGATGCGGCAATCTCCATACGACATCCGGTTACTGACGAGTTACGCACAGTTTTCGTGGAAGCAGCTTCACGATAAGGATCAAGCTGAGAATCTGTATCAGAAGGCGATTCAAGAGTCTCCGGATAACTCGGACGCGCTCGCTAGTTATGCTCTTTTCTTGTGGGAAAGTGAAAGCGAGAGCGAAGGGGAGCTGGACGCAGTGCAAAAGGCAGCAGTCATGACATCAGCGTAACTCAAATGGGTTCAGTAACAGTTACATCTGCTATGTCGGATCGTACATTTCTAGGAACTTACAATTTGCTGCCCCTTTCGCGAAAGGGGCATCTTAGTAGGTAGAGCATGCCTGCTCCCTGTTGCTTAACTTTTAGGCATGATTATGGTTTGAGAGTTGTCAACGAGTTTCTGAATGCTTTTTTTGACTCACCTACAAATGTCCATTGCCAAAACTTCAAACTTGATGTCATGATAATTAAAAGGATTTGCGGTGGAGGTGCTTTGCCATGGTGATCTGACCAATCTAAATGTTTGCTGTGATGTTTTACCAACAAGTTCAGACAGTCTAGCACTAAAAGTGGAGGTACCGGTACTAGTAATTTGAATAGCATTCAGAGTGGGTTGCCCCATTTGTGACCACATGGCATCCTTTCCTAGCTCCAAATAAGGCTAGCAGCCTCTTCCGCACAACACCCTTTGATCCTCTCCAAAACCCTATTAATCAATCTTCTCCCCACCCTGACACTCCTTCCCCTCTATATCACTCCTCCCTTGAGCTCTCCCATGGACCCGGCTCTCCCCTTCTAATACGCCTCACCACCGACCTCCCCAGAGCAAACGCAGCCACCACGCCAGCCAGGCGCAGCAAATGGCCTCCTTGCCTGCGCGCCCGCCCGCCCCTTCCCCTCCCCGCACCACGCACTGCTTCGCTACGGCCGTGCAAACTCATGTTCCCCACACCATCACCCCCCTCGTCCTGCTCCACGCTCTGCCTCAAGCCCTCTTCACTACCTCCTTCCAAACGCCTCTGATCACCACTCCCCTCGCCTTCCAACTCCTCAGTCCGTTCACCCACCACATGCTTCGCGCCAGCTCGTGCCACCCCATGGTGTGGGCGATCAGTGCTGCCTCTTGGGTTGTCAGCTCCGACCAAAGCCCGCTGCCCATCCCCTCCTCCCACAAGCTGCACGCCAAGCTGCACGCCGACTCTTGTCGCACCATTCTGCCACTGCTCACTGCCTCTTATGCTGTCAGCTCCTAGTGAAGCCTGGTCCGCATCCCCTCCTACCACACGTGCCTCCCCCTCTTGCTGCTGCTCCACCTCATGCTCCCGTCCCTGCTCCTGCTCCTGCCTCCGCTGCTGCTCCCGAAAAGTCCCATCTGCTTGCACCTCTCTCTGCCGCCTCCTCTCCTGCAGCCCCTGCTGCTGCGGTTCCTGTCCCCGCCACCCATCCGCCCCCCCCTCTCCCTGCCACAGCCCTGCTTCCCCCCCCTCCCCCTGGCGCTGCCCTGCTTCTGACCCCACTCTCTGCCGCCGCCCGGCTTCCTCCCCCACCCCCTGCGACCGCCCCGTTTGCTCTCGCTCTCGCAGCCGCCTCCGCTCCTCATACTCCTCATCATCTGAGGGCAACTCAAACCGGCAGATGGGGCACGAGTTTCTCACGGCAAGCCACTGTCGAATGCAACCCCCATGGTACAGGTGCCGGCACGGCAGCCTCACCACCTCCTCCCCCACCTCCGCCACCTCCTTACACACCGCGCAGCACGACGTGCCACTCTCCACGTCCTCCAATCGCACGGCGACAGCTGGCAGCGCGTCGACCGCGGATAGCGCCGCTGGGGGGTTGCCGCGTTGTTGCGCGTCTGCCGCAACGAGCTGGTCGAGAAAAGCGTCTAAGCCTGGGCCGTCGAGATAGTCTCCTCGGTTGCCAAAGTGGCCTCTGTTGCCAAAAACGATGGTTGTGGTTGTGACTCCGTCTGAATCCGTGGTAGCACCACCCGCGCCTGCGAAACCAGCAGGTTCGGCAGCAGCAGGTCCGGCGCCCCAGTGTATCCGAGCCTCGAACCCAGCCCCGCCAAAGGCCAGCCCACCAGCACCACCACCACCAAAACCAGCACCATACAAACCACCAACCCCACCACCACCACCAGCGTCAGCACCAGCATCACCAGCACCACCACCAGCACCAGCACCAGAAGCACCAGCACCAGCACCGGCAACGCCACCAGCACCAGCAGCAAGGCTACCGTCAGCGTTGACAAGGCGGCCGCGGCGAAGGCTGAACTCCACATGAACGGACGGCCCCACGAGCTCCTGCATCAGCTGCTGCAGCCGCCTCTCCAACCCCACCTCCAGCCGCAGCAGCGCCTGCTGCTGGGCTGCTCTTAGCCGCCTCAGCAGTCCTGCTCCCCTGTCTTCTGTGGGCCCCGCTACAAACGCTTGCGCCTCTGCCTCACGCGCCTGCCTCTCATGCACTTCTCGCTCGAACGCTTCTCCCTCAGATGATTCTCTCCCAGGTGCTTCTCCTCGCTCCCATTCTTCTCTCTGCCTCTCGCCGCGCTCCCTCTCGCCCTGCTGCACAGCAGGAGTTGCTCCCTCGACCTCCTGAAAAGGTCTCAGAAAGACTGGTGCTGCGCCTTCCAGCCGTGCCATTTCTGCCGCTTGTTCTGCGGATAACGATCCTGACAACAAAGACACAGACGATGCTGACGTGGATGCTGATGTGGATGATGATGACGACGATGCTGCTGTAGCAGCTGCAGCAGGGGCAGGGGATGATGACGTGGACGAAGCAGGAACGGCCCTCTGCAAGTTGGCTCGTCCTGAACCCCCCTCCCCCGCTTCCCCTCCCTCCCTCCCCACCATTCCCTCCATCCCCTCCCTCTCCTCCCTCTCCTCCCTCCCCTCCAGCTCCGTAACACCACCTCTCAAGCCAGTCCCCGCCACACCTCCTCGCCTCACCCCTCGTCGTCCGCGTCTGCCCCGTCCGCTGTTAAAGCCAGACGCCAGCCTCTCAACGCCCATGCGAAACAGAGGCACGCGCGCCCTCCCTCCCACATGCTCCTCCTCTGCATCACTCCATCCCCCCTCTCCTTCCTCCTCCTCCTCCTCCTCCTCCCCATCCTCTTCTTCCTCCCCCTCCCTTTCCGCCTCCTGTCCTTCTTCTCCCTCCGCCTCCCCTTCAAGGCTAGACCACGAGCCTCCTATCTCCAGCAACAAACCCTCCAGTTGTCTTAAAGTGCTAAGAAAATTATCCGCAACCCAATTTCCGCGGTTCCTGCGGCCTGGGATTCGATTCTCTGCCTCCCTCTCCTCCAACTCGTACTCGCTATTGTCACTCTCGCTGTACTCGCTGTTGTCGCTCTCATCGGGCTCGTTATAATAACGGCCCCTGACGCCCGCGGTCTCATTCTCCCTCCTCCACCACCGTTCCTCTATCTCGTTTTCCTCGTCCTCGTCGTACACGATATGGTCACTCTCGCTAATAGCACCACCATCGCTGCCGCTGGTAAGAGCTGGCAGTTCATCCTCGCTTGCTGCCGCTTCATTCTCATTCAGAGGCCTCGTTTCAAGCACATCCGTTTCTGTCACACGCATTTCAGGTACACCCGTTTCAGCCACATCCGGTGACGTGCTCGTACGAGGCGATACGAGATCCGGCAGTTCATCTTCTTCCACTTCCGCTACTGCTGCTCCCCCCGCTTCAGTCACAACCGCTAGTGTCGCCGTCACAGCGCTATCGTTGAACATAAAATCCTCTTCGGCTGCACGACCGTCCCGACTCTCATACCCATTCTCCCCTGCTTCACGACCTTGACCCCCACCGCCTTGATCCCTAATTCCATGATCCCCACCGTCTTGAATCTCGTTGTAATCACAATCTTCAGGGTCGCTGCAAAGGTCCGGCATGTCGTCGTCATCCTCCTCCTCGCCGTCAGGCACTTGAATCCGAGGTCGCGCTTCAGTCACACCCGTTTCATTCACAACCGCTTCTGATGATACTGCTGCTGCAGCTACTGATGCTGATGCTGATGCTGCTTCTGATGCTGATGTCGATGCGAACGCTGCTGCTGCTTCCCAAGTATCACCTCGTTCAGGGTCAACTCCGTTATTATCACCTACGCTTTCATCATCACTTCTTTTACTGAAACGCCTCTCGCATCTTCCAGAAACTCGCTGAAAGTCGTCCATTCTTTCCCGTTGAAAATAACGCGAGGAAGGAACGGCTACTTGGCGACAGGGGGGGCAATCTAGTGCCACCAGCTCTGCCAAACCGCTTACTACGCAATCAATATCAATAACATACACGCAACGCAACGGTAGCAAGCGCTCTAAATGTTCCGAACGGTCACTTCACTAGTTGACGATGGACACATGATTTTTTAGGACTTCAACGCTCTGTATCCAACTTGGTATTAGGATACTGGTACGCCGATTCTTTGTAGGTATGTTGATGGGATGTGAACTTGGAAAGCACTCCTCGCAAAAGCCTACCAAACCGTACAATAAGCATTTGCATCCCTGTGATTTGTACACCACCGATTTAGAAGCTCTTGTTCACTTGACCTTCGAAGCAATCTTGAATCTGGTTGGAAACACTAGACAGGTCACCGCACTGTAATCCACAGGACCGCGTTAGCTTAGAAACTGTCTTCAGCTTCTCAATTTTAAAACATTGAGAAAGCTTGCTTTCTTGTCCTTATAATTTGGCATCGTTCTCATTGCAACATCGTTCTCATTGCAACTGGCTTAATACAACATATGCATCGTTCTTAAACACATGCTATTACATGCAAATATTACTAGCTATGGAATCGTCCGTCCAAGCAGCTGTGGTCTTGTAGTTGGTCCGGGGTGGGTGGTGGGGATGTTGATTGAGCCGTTGGAAAACGAGAAACGTGGGTGGAGGGAATGAACTCCAACCCACGGTTTTTGTAGTTGGAGAAGGGCGTTTAGCGCGCTTCGACGCTGCCAAATATGCGGTACAGGCAGCTTCGCTTTCACAATACACAATTTTGAAAAACATCAATGTGTTTAAAATTTATAATAATTCCACAATCAACCATGATTTCACCACAATTCTGCCAGACTAATTTTGCAGAACTTCCCCAAATCATGATGCTAAACTATGTAAATGTAAGGAAAATTCCTTTACATTACTTCGCGTCCCTGCCTACCGCGTACATGACCATTCCCGCCATTGACACCCAACAGTGAAACGTTACGCGCTCACGAAACTCGCCTCGACCCCAACACCCGCCACTGTTCACGATGTGACCCAACCTCACAATTTGGTTGGTAACCCGCGCTCCGGACCTCCGCCTCGACATTTCCCAACCTCGGCACTAGGCCCGTAGCGCACCAAATTTCTCGCGTTACCGTTACCACGCTAGCTTTGTGTCGGAATAGTAGCTAGAGGGTGAGACTAGGGGCCATCCTAGGGTTTGGGCTAGGCATGACTATCGAGAGAATTTGAGCAAGGAAAAGGTTTCACTATAGAAAGTGAAGTACAAATACGGGAGGAAAGGGGGTACACCACCAAGCGGGAAATTAGGATAACTACAATACAGCTAGAACTACATGCAGTTATAACAATATAATTCTGACATCCCCCCTTCACTGCATGCAAGAATAACCAAGTGCAAGACACAACCTGCAGGGGTACACCAAGCAGAACAAAGCAGCAGCACGCAAGAGCAGTGACAACCAGTGCAGTAGTGGCAGATACAGCTGCAGTAAGCCTTGAGGCAAGATAGAAACAGACAACAGTAGGTGCATGTGGCGCAGGTAGCCTGGAGAGCAGGTGCGTGCGGCGAGAAAGAGTGGCGGCAACGCAGGGCTCAACGGCAGCACCTGCCGCTCAACAGCAGCAGAGAGACGAGACAAACAAAGGTGGCGACAGGGGCTGCAGCAGGAGGTGCCACGGTAGCAGAGGGCGGCAGTTCCATATGCGTGGTTGCTTCGTCCGCCACTCTCTCTTACCCTTCCCCCCACAGCTGCACGTTCGACAGTGAGAAAGAGAGGAGGGGCGGCTGCTGGCTTGACAGCATCTCGCTCACCACCCCCTCACTACATCTCCTCCCACAGTCCGCCACCCACTCATCTCCCCCCCACCCCACTATAGAAGGTGCTGGCGCCAGCAACGTGCATGGCGCTAGAGTTCACGACCAGCGGCGGGGCGAAGGGGCAGTGCACGGGACGGGGCGAGCAGTTGCAGCAGGCGCGATGGGACGGGACGGGCGGGCGCAGCAAGCACGACGGGACGGGACGGGCGGGCGCTTCAGGCGCGACGCGACGGGACAGGCAAGCGCCACTGGCGCGACGGGACGGGACGGGCATGCGCTGCGAGGGCGACGGGACGGGACGCAGGACAAAACAGGCCGCGCGCGTGTATGTCCATATCTCTTAAAATTACAGGAAGGTTCCAGGATGGAACCAGCTCTAAAACCATGTCGGAATAGTAGCTAGAGGGTGAGACTAGGGGCCATCCTAGGGTTTGGGCTAGGCATGACTATCGACAGAATTTGAGCAAGGAAAAGGTTTCACTATAGTAAGTGAAGTACAAATAGGGGAGGAAAGGGGGTACACCACCAAGCAGGAAATTAGGATAACTACACTACAGCTAGAACTACATGCAGTTATAATAATATAATTCTGACACTTAGCTATATATTCTTCGCTCCTGCCTTCGCTCAAGGTATTGTTTTGCTTCGATAGTGCAATTCTCGCTCGCTCGCTCAATTGCACTCATAACACTTGGAATTCAGAGCCTACGATCTCTTCTCGGACCGCACCCTCACCTTCGCTTCCCCACTATCTCAGTTTTTGGAGGGCGTAGACGTCTCTCAGCGTTCAGGCATCGACGCTCGACGTGCTCTATCGAAAGCACGCACGCCCACGACTGAGGCTCTCGCTGAGCTTGCCCGACACCCCCGCCATGGCCGACCTCAATCTCGCGACGTTGACGCAGGAGCAACTCGACCGGCTCGTCCGCCAACTCGACGATTCGGCGCTCGAAATCGCGACACTCACGGCGAAACGCGACTCCGCCCGCCAGCAATCAACAGTGAATGCACCAGCAGCATCACAAGCACTTGCAAATGCACATGCGCAATTGGATGAGTGTCAGAATGTTATGTTTGTCTAGCCTGCAGTGGGGTACTCTATAGCGAGTACAGCCCAATTTAGGGTTTGCTATATGTACTCAACTGCCTGCTAGTGAAAACCCCTTCTTCTCTGTTTTCATTCCGTTCCTGATTCTAACATGGAATCAGAGCGACATCGCTCCTGGCCTGTGGGCCCACCTGCTTCCGCTGCTGTCCTGTCTGTCGCGCGCCCCGTGGCGCGCGACGTTTTTTCTTCCCGCCACACGCTCCGAGCGCGTGGCGGTTTTCTGCCCGCCGTGCGCCCCGAGGCGCGCGGCGGTTTGCTGTCTCACGCGGCGCCCTGGGGGCCCGCGAGCTGCCCTGCCCGTCGCCCGTCGCGGAGCCCTGTGGGCCCGCGCGTCGCCCCCCCCCCCCCCATCCCGTAGCCCGTCGCGGCACCCCGGGGGCCCACGCGACGGCCCCCCCCCCCTGTCGTTCGTCACGGCACCTTCGGGGGGGGCTCGTGCGCGGCCCTCCCGTCGCCCGTCGTGGCGCCATCGGGGGCCCGCGCGGCCCCCCCTTCCGTCGCCCGACGTGGCGCCCTCGGGGGCCTGCGCGCGGCCCCCTCCCGTCGCCCGTCGCGGCGCCCTCGGGGGCCAGCGCGCGGCCCCCTTCTGACGCCCGTCGTGGCGCCCTCGGGGGCCCGCGCGCGGCCCCCCTCCAGTCGCCCGTCGTGGCGCCCTCGGGGGCCCACACGCGGCCCCCTCCTGACGCCCGTCGAGGCGCCCTCAGGGGCCCGCGCGACCCCCACCCTGGTCGCCTGCGCGCTACCCCTCCTGCAGCCCGTGAGCCGCCCCTGCAGCCCCAAGTAGGCCGCTATGTCCCGCTCCCGCTCTCACCCCGTGCTACCAGTGTTAGGGTTTGGGGGTGGAGCGTATGGGGGTGACAATTGTGTGCCGCCTCCTCTACTCCTCCTCCTCCTCTGTCTCCCACTGCTGCAGCTGCCGCTGAGGGGGGTGGATATGTGGGAGCTGTCGGAGTAGTACTACGGGGGTGGCATGTGAGCAGTGCTAGAGGTGCAGCAGGGGGTGTGTGAAAGGGGGGGTGAGACAGTTAGAGGGAGGTTGGGCGGAGGCAGCCGTCGTGTCGCCAGCAGCGCCAGTAGTCCGGAGGCTACAATCTCCGGTAGCCCAGCGAGCCTGCTGCGCCAGTCGCCCGTGGGTCCGTTGCTCCTGCCGCTCAGAGTTAGCCGCGGAGCCAGTTACTCCAGTAGTCCGGAGGCTACAATCTCCGGTAGCCACAGTGCGCGCCGCTCCTATTGCCCGTGTTTCTGCAGCTTCACCCGTCGTCTCCTATCTCCTCTCCTCTCATAGTCCCTCCTCCTCCTCACTTACCCTCTATGATAGCCTCTAGCTTTGCTTATTACTGTGAACTATAAACTGCTGCTTCTTGTACTTGTGCTCAGAATGTGTGGTGACGTCGTGATCCACCCTGAGCTTGCTTTGCTTTGCTTGTTGTGCTGATTACACCACACTTTGGCTATGGGGGTGTGTCAGAATGTTATGTTTGTCTAGCCTGCAGTGGGGTACTCTATAGCGAGTACAGCCCAATTTAGGGTTTGCTATATGTACTCAACTGCCTGCTAGTGAAAACCCCTTCTTCTCTGTTTTCATTCCGTTCCTGATTCTAACAATGAGCCAATTGTCATCTCATCTGGCACACCGTCACATCACGACAGCATGGGATTGCGCTCAGGCCCAGCCAGTGATGGCGTTGTGAGAATTAACAAGAAGAATGATGAAACTAGAAAGGAGATGGGTACAAGTAGGAAACACAAAGTGTTGTACCCTCTAAGGACTACCCCACTACAGCCTAAACAGACTATAGCATATATAAGTTTGACACACCCCCATAGGCAAAGTGGGGGAGAACAAGGGGTCACAAGACCAGTCAAGAAGGCAAAGCAAGCTCAGGGTGGATCACAAAGTCACCACGCAGTCTGAGCACAAGCAAATGGCCACAAGGCCAGTTCACATGCAGAGTTATATAAAGGAGAACAAACAATACAGTGAACACAACCTAGCAAGTGTGAACATGCAGGTATAT